AGGCGATGGCCGATCGCCAAGGACCGCTTTCTGTGCGTTTGGAGACCGCAAAGAAGCGCAGGATCGGACCAGACGGTGAGGCAGCACCCCTCACGCCGGGGCCAGGAGCATCGCCGGGCACTCCGGCAGCTTCCCCTGGCGCGGCAGCATCATCTTCTTCTTCTTCGGCGGTGGCGCCGGCGGCCCCAGCACCCATGGTTGTGGAAGGGGCGGCTCCCTCAGTGCCGGAAGGCGCAGGCAGGGGCGACGATCTACAGATGGACGTGGTGGACGAGGACGCAGCCATGGTTGGCGACGGCGGTGGCGGTGGCGCCATGGCGGGAGACGACCTCAGCTCCATCGCGAAGTCCATCAACGCTGACCTGATCAAGCTCGGCGGCAACCCGATCGAGCTGAGCCAGGTCGAGTCCAACGATGCGACGGTCTCCGAGGTTTTCGGGCGCGGCAGGTTCTTGGAGCGTGCCCGCGAGTTCGGACTCACCCCAGGGTTTGCTCTCGACCTCAGCACTGGATGGGACCTGAACATTCCCACGCACAAGGACGAGGCGGCACGACTCCAAGCCAGTGACCGGCCTCTGCTCCTTATCGGCTCTCCACGCTGCACGGCGTGGACCACACTCTTGAATTTCGGACAGGGTAAGCAGGACACGCTCGACGGCCTCGTGGCCGAGGCTATCGACCACATGGACACCTGTGTGAGGATGCACTTCGAGCAGCTGGACAACGGGCGCTACTTCCTGCACGAGGCGCCGCACTCGGCGAGGTCCTGGCACGTGAAGGGCATTCAGGACCTCCTCCGCAAGACCGGCGTCTTCGACATCGTCAACGACCAGTGCGAGGCAGGGCAGACCGTCCCTGTCAAGCAGGCCGACGGGACCGTGAAGAACATGACAGTCCAGGGCCGCGCGGGCTGGATCACCAACTCCCTGTGCATTGCGAAGGAGCTCTCCAAGTTCCAGTGCAGGAACCGACACGGAGGGTACCACGATCACGTGCACCTGGTCGACGGTAGGGCCAAGCACAAGGCCAACTACCCTCCAGCTCTCGCGGCGGCCATCCTACGCGGATTCAAGGAGCAGGTGGAGCACGACAAGATGCTGAGTGGCATGGGCGTCTCCGTGGGCAGCATGGACGTGGGCTACAACGTGGACACCGAGACCCGCGAGATGCTGCACCTCCCGGAGTACGAGAACATCTTCGATGACATCACGGGCGTGCGGCTACCTCCTGAGCAGGTGGGGCCAGCACGCAAGAAGGAGATAGAGTTCCTCCGCAGCTTCCCCGTCTACAAGCACGTGGAGGTCAGCGAGGCGGAGGGGCGCGAGATCGTAGACACCAGGTGGGTCGACGTGAACAAGGGCGACCTCGACAACATGAATGTTCGGTCCAGGCTCTGCGCGAAGGAGTTCAAGTGGAAGAATCTCTGGCTCGAGGACACGTTTGCTGGTACACCCCCGTGGGAAGGCGTCAAGATGGTGCTGAGCAAGGCTATGACCAAGGCTAGGAGGCCCACTGGCGGCTTCAAGGTCAAGAAGGTACTCATCCTGGACATCTCGAGGGCGCACTTCCACCCAGCGGCGAAGCGCAAGCTGTTCATCCGCATCCCTCCTGAGGATGGCGGAGGCATTGGGCTCTTGCTCCGCATGATGTACGGCATGAGAGACGCGGCGGCTGGCTGGGAAGAGTACCACCAAGACAAGTTGGGCTTGGCCGGCTACAAGGCAGGAGTCTCCTGCCCGTGCGCGTTCTCCAACTCAGACGGGTCGTCGTCAGGAGTTGTTCACGGTGGCGACTTCATCTTCGAGGGCGAGGGGCACCAGCTCGACGCGATGGAGGCAGAGTTGCGGAAGCACATGCTGGTGCAGAGGAAGGCTCTTCTTGGGCCTGACCCCTCGGACGACAAGCACGCGACGACCCTCAATCGGCTCATCTCCTACGTCGACGGTGGCACTGGAGCGAAGAGCCGCATCACGATGGAGCCAGACTCTCGACATGCGGAGATCTTGGTTCACGCGCTCGGCTTGAGCGGACGTGGATCCAAGGCTGTGTCGACTCCTACGGAGAAAGGGGCTGGCTACTACGACGACGCTCCTCTGCAGGGTGCGAATGAGGCCAAGGCGTACAGATCCCTCTGCATGCGGCTCGGGTTCCTGGCCCAAGATGCACCCCAGTTGCAGTGCGTTGCCAACAAGTGCTGCAAACACATGGCGGTACCTACTGTTGGCGGGCTGGCTCGTCTGAAGAGAGTTGCGAGGCTCCTCAAGGGTGAGCCTCGGTGTGTCCAGAGCTTCGTCGAGCAGCATCACGAGGGCCAGCACATCGACGTCTACTGCGACTCCGACTGGGCCGGCGACGTGAATGACAGGAAGAGCGTCAGCTCCGTCTTCGTGTTCCATGGTGCGCACCTCCTCAAGAGCACGGTGAGCACAAGGGGCACGACCGCGCTGTCTAGCGGCGAGGCGGAGTTCACGGCCGGAGTGAAGGGGGCGTCAGTTGCCCTGGGCGTTCGCTCCCTTGGAGCTGACCTAGGCATGGAGCTGTTCCCGGTCATGCGCACGGACAGCAGCGCCGCGAAAGGCATCTTCGGCAGGCGCGGGATTGGAAGGATCAGGCATCTACACACTCCTCTCCTGTGGGTTCAGGAGAAGCGCGCGAGGAAGGATATCAAGGTTTGCAAGACGCCGGGCGAGACCAACCCAGCGGACCTTGGCACCAAGGAGCTCTCCCGCGCGGACGTCCTCAAGCACCTGGCGACCTGCGGGTTCTCTTTCGAGGCCGGGCGCCATCCTCTGGCGCTGGCTGCGCAGGTTCCGGTGCCTGGTGAGATCGGTGGCTTTGACGGCTACGGCCGAGACCAGGCGCTGCGGGGCGCGGAGGCGCTCGTCATCGAGCGCCCGAGGCAGGTGCTGAGCGGAGTCTGGGGCGGGCGCGCCGCCGCGTCGGCGGGCCGTGGACCCCGCGCTCCACTACCTTTTGGGTCGGGCCAGACGGGCCCGGCCGCGGCAGGCACAAATGGTCGAGCGCGCCTCGAGACAGGCGTGCTCGAGGAGGGCTGTGAAGATAAGCACGTTTGACAGCAGGATCTGCGTGCCTGTCCGCAGCCATTCTGGCAAAAGAATTTCTCATGTACACATGTATATATGTCTCTATATGTATATAGAGATATATCTGTGATATAGATAGATTCCGGTTCGGTTTGGTTCGGTTCGGTTCAAAATCGGGTCGTGCGGTTCCGGTTCGGTTCGGTTCTTGTTGATAAGAAGTTCGGTTCGCGCCGGTTCGGTTCGGCCGAATCGGTTCGGTTCTTGAGCCTTCCTATTATATATATATATATGTATATGTATATAGATATGTGAGGCTGGCGACTTCTAGGAGGCAGCCTCCTCATAAGAAGCCTTCCCCCCCCACCCCCCTTGTGCCCGTCGCCAAGTCTTGCGTCCTGGACACGTGCGTTGGGGCCCTTGGGCCTGGAAGCGGCCCCGGGGGTCTAAGATCGAGGAGGCACGCCTCCAGACCTCCCAGACGGGGTCGGGGTAGATGGGGTCGGGGGATCGCGCCGCATCGCAGATGCATCGGCGATACGTCTCGATGCGGAGCCCGTTTTTCTCCACGCCGACGTCGGCGATGCATCGTCGATGAATTGCCGATGCATCGGTGATACACCTGCGATGCGTCGGCGATGCGGTGGACTCCTACGACCCCATCTAGGAGGCTTAATGCCCCGACTTGCAAAGAACTGCTGGAGTTTTGGGTCCGCGCGAGAGCGCGAGGATAATCGCGCCCAGCGCAGCACGAAGATGCTGACGTCAGGTGGCCTGGCCTCAGGGCGTGCCGGGGGCTTTGCGCGCGTTGCGTGCACCGCACGCTCTGGGCGATGGAGGAGGCGGAGGAGGAGGCGGAGGAGGAGGAGGACGAGGAGGAGGAGGAGGAGGAGGAGGAGGAGGAGGAGGAGGAGGAGGAGGAGGAGGAGGAGGAGGAGCAGGAGGAGGAGGAGGAGGAGGAGGAGGAGGAGAAGGAGGAGGAGGAGGAGGAGGAGGAGGAGGAGGAAAAGGAGGAGGAGGAGGAGGAAGACGAGCAGGAGGAGCAGGAGGAGGAGGAGGAGGAGGAGGAGGAGGAGGAGGAGGAGGAGGAGGAGGAGGAGGAGGAGGAGGAGGAGGAGGAGGAGGGGCACGCCGAGGTGGGCGCCTCCCTCCCCTCGGAGGGCGGGGCTCATGCTCGGGCCTCCTCCCCACGAGCGCTGCCGCGCCGGCCCTCCGCACCCAGTCCCACCTGCCTCCCTGAAGGTTAAGTCGGGCATGTCCCTCTAATACAGGAGGAGAGCTGAAGGTCGTGGCCCTGCGGCGCACGGACGGGGAGCGAGTTCACCGACTCCCACTTGCGAGGTAAACAGTGCGCCGGCAGCAGTAGCAGCAGCGTTGCTATCATAGCCAAAAAAAATTAGGGGACGAGTTGTGACTATCGACTATTGTTGAGCATTCTTGGAGCATTTTTTTGACTTATCGTCCAAATTGCGCCTGCAGGAGGATATGCCCGACCTGACGCCAAGGTCATCGCGCCGTCCCTTCGTGCCTTCTCTCTCCCCTCCCCCCCTGGGGCCGCGGGGAGGTGCCCCCCGCCTCCAGGGGTCCTCCCTGGCAGTGTGCCTGCAGATCGCTGCTCTGGTCCCTTGCCTCCTCCTCCCCCCCGTGGGGGGGGGCGGAGGGGGGTGGATGGCAGCGTTGGATGCCAACTCCAGTGTCGGCAGCGTCGAGAGGTAAGTCGGGCATGTCCCTCCACAGGAGGAAGACTCAAAACATAGTCAGAGGATAGACTGGGGCTGAGTTTTCGACGATCTTTCCGATGATGTTTGCTATCCTCGTTGACAGCTCTTAATCTTTGTTTTCGATCCCCCCTGCAGGAGGACATGCCCGACCTGAGTCAAGAGGGGTGGGACGGGGAGGCCGTCCTGGCGCAAGGAGTGGGCGCGCGCGCGCACGGCCCGCCTTGGCGTGCGGCCCCAGGAACGACGCCGGTGGGAAGTTCAGCATCCGCGTCCACGGCCAGGGCCTGGGCGCTCCGCTCGGGGGGGCCTCTCTCTGCTCGAGCTCTCATGCGCGCGCCCGCTCGGCGCGGCCCTCTGGTGGGCGCGGGGCCGCCCCGCGGGGTCCGCTTGGATCCGACGGACCTGGGTCGGTACAGTTCGGAAGTGGATAGGCCTCCTACTCTGACACGTCGATTAAGGAATTGGCCGTTTTCGGTTCGCGAGAGGGCGTCGCGGCCGTCATTTTTGCGGGTTCAGGTCCGTCGGTTTCGGTCCCAGGCCGTTTTAACCAAGGGGAGGTTTACTAAAGGGAGGTTTGTCCACCACCGAACAGTGGGGGCCCATGCCGAGAAGCACCCTGCATGCCTCCAGGCTGCCCTGGGTTTCCTCGGTTGCGATGCTTTTGCGATGGAGAGCGCGGCGTTCCCGCATCAGAAGTCGATGGGCGTTGGGCTTCTCGTGGAGGATTTCTTGTGGTCGAGCCCCTACTGTATCATCGACTGCGGCAGGCCCGATCCGATTCTCGAAGAAGAGAAAGCGCCATAAAAGCATGAACGTGTGGCTCTCCGCGCGGTTTCTAGGATCCGCGCTGGGCCCCCAAGGAATCCGCGCGGAGCACCAAAAGTTTAATGTTCATAGCGCTTTTCCTTCTTCTAGTATCGACTACGGCGGGCCCGATCCGCTTCGGCCCCGATATTCCGACGATCCGATGCGACCTGATGCTCGCACGTCGCTGATTTTGCATCCTGCCTCGGCCGGTCCGATGCGGTCTCGATATTCCGTGCTGGTGCGGCCCGCTCCAGCGCACGTTCCGGTGCGATCCGATTTCTGCGGGCTCGATGCTGACTGGTCTTAAGTCGGGCGTGTCCCTCTACAGGGGGAATATTTATCCAGAAATAGCCAAAGAACAGTCTGAGGACGATTTAGGGTTTTTGTTTTGATCACTTTTGGAATGTTTTTGATTTTCCTTGCGAAATCCGCTTGTCGGAGGACGTGCCCGACCTAAGACTGGTCCTGCTGCCCCGAGATCCAGGCCAGGGGCCCAGTTCGGAAACTGGAACGTATACATTACCAGTGGCGGGCTGTTTCTTGAATCCGAGGACTTTTTGAGGGTCGGGGACGACGCTGGGGTGGTGTGGTGTATATTCTTTTCCCCGATGTCCCTGGAAAACCACGAACAGTGTATACACCAGGATATCCCGCCTACACCAGAATCCGCGTCCCCGTGCGACTGTCGGCGCAGGGTCGGGAAGAGCGTCGGTGTATAGAGAGTTCGTCTCCCTGCCAGTGCCCAGGAGGCGCAGGCACGGACGGATTGGGGCGCGTGGCTCAGCGACGGGTCCTGCCGCCGGGCAGAGGCGGCGCGCCCCGTCGCCGGGGGCCGGGCGGCTCCGGCCTCGTGCTTCGGGGGTGCGCCGCCTCCCGGGTTTCCGCAGGCCTGCGGCGCCCGCAGGCCAGAGGCACTGGCACCAACAAGGCCCGCGCTGGCGTGCGCCCGCAGGGGAGAACGTCTGCACGGGCTCCTCCGGCCCGCCTCGGGCCCTGCGGCTCCCATAGGTCGAACCTGCCAGACAGATATCACGCCTGAGGTCGGCGGCGCCCCAACATGCTTACTTTGGGTGCGTCGTCGCACCAGGGGCGACGCGCGCGCACCGAGACATCTTATAGTATGTGCGTCGTGGCGGGCGCTTTCTGACCACACCGCTCGGGAAACGACATACTGCCAGATGGGTATATTATATGTTCGGGTCGGACGTGCGCCTCCAAGGAGGACATACAGTAGTAGTGTGTCTCCGAGTGAGTATGTCTCCGTGCGTCCCATGAGGATGGGATCCGAGAGTGCTCCCGCGGAGTCGTGTGCGTTCTTCCCGGCAGGCGCCGGGCGCCCAGGGGGCGGGGTCGGCGGATCTTCCCATCACGGAACACTGTTCGCGGAGGCGGTGGTTCGGGCCCGGCCAGGACCCCAGGTCTAGGGCGACGAGATCTATGCATATCCACTGCTCCTGGCCAGGCCCATCCTGGGCCCAGGAGCGGTGTATACGCCCTCCTGGCCTGGCCAGGGAGGCATATACACATCTCCTGGGCCCAGGATGGGCCTGGCCAGGAGCAGTGGACATGTACAGATCTCGTCGCCCTAAGGTCGGGGGACCCGGCGAGCGTTAGGGCCCTGGAGCCCCCACTCTGGCCAGAGGCACTAAGCCAGGTCCGCCGCAGCTGGTGCTCTTTCGGGTGGCGGCAGTCCCGGTCAGTGGAGCGGGGCGGGGGGCGGCCCCCAGTACACATCACTGAACCAAGTCCCACTAAACCCAGTTCTGCCAACACCCCAGCAGCGGTGTCGAACCTCCTCCTCCTCCCCCTCCTCCTCCTTTTCCTCCTCCTTCTACACCACGTCCTCCTCCTCCTCTTCTTCCTCCTCCTGTTCCTCTTCCTCCTCCTCCTCCTCTTTCGCCTCCTCCTCCTCCTCCTCCTACTCCCTCCTCCATATGCTCCTGACCCGTGTGCATTTAGCAGGTGCCTGCACGTGTGCAGCCGCCGAGGGCCAAGGGAGGGTGTCGAGCATGCGGCTGGCGGGCCCTTCACACGTAGGATTACCTGTGCGGTTGGGGTGTCGAGAATGCGTTTGGCGCGGTGGTTCGGGTCCGGCCAGGACCTCAGGTCGGGGGGGGGGAGGGGGAGGGGGAGACGGAGGCGGAGGAGGAGGAGGAGGCGGAGGAGGAGGAGGAGGACGAGGAGGAGGAGGAGGAAGAGGAGGAGGAGGAGGAAGAGGAGGAGGAGGAGGAGGAGGAGGAGGAGGAGGAGGAGGAGGAGGAGGAGGAGGGGGACCCGGTGAGCGTTAGGGCCCTGGAGCCCCCAATTTGGCCAGAAGCACTATAAGCCAGGTCCGCCGCAGCTTTGGTGCTTTTTCGGGTGACGGCAGTCCCGGTCAGTGGAGCGGGGCGGGGGGCGTCCCCCAGTACACCTTAGGCGATGCTTAAGAAAACTTAAGATTTCGACCAGAGTCTCGATTATTCTTAATGTTTCAATGTAAATCCCAAGATTTTAATAGAAATGTTGGGTTTCTGAGACTATGAATTTCTTAACCCATGATTTCTTAAGCATTTCGCAGGGTGTACACATCACTGAACCAAGTCCCACTAAACCCAGTTCTGCCAACGCCCCAGCAGCGGTGTCGAGCATGCTCCTGGCCCGTGTGCATCCAGCAGGCGCCTGCACGTGTGCCGCCGCCGAGGGCCAATGGGAGGTTGTCGAGCATGCGGCTGGCGGGCTCTTCACACGTAGGATTACCTATGCGGTTGGGGTGTCGAGAATGCGTTTGGCGCGAGTGCGTTTGCCACGTGTGCGCACGTGTGCAGGCGCCAAAGGGGGTGTGTCGAGCATGCGGGCGGCGGATTCTCCAGACGCAGGAGTGCGTGGGCGGAGGGGGTATTGTTGAACAGGCGTCTGCAGGTGTGCATTTGGCACGTTTCTCCACGTGGGCAGGCGCCCAGTGGGGGGTGTCGAACATGCGGCCGGCGGGCTCTTCCCACGTGAGAGTACGACCGCGGAGGTGGGCGGTGGTGTCGAACACGGGCCTGGCACGTCTGACGGGCCTCCTTGGGCCGTCATGGGGCCGTCTTGGAGGCCCCTTGGGCCGTCTTGAGACACTCCAGCCCTCCTGGGCAGCAGCAGGGGTCTCTCGAGCCGTCCCGAGTCCATCCTGGGCCGTCTTTGACAGGGCTTGGCCGTCTTGGAGGCATCGCTGGCCATCTCGGCGGCCCTCGCGGCCTGCCCGGGCCGCCCTGGAGGCCATCCTGGGCACCGGGCAGCCTCGGAGGGCGTCGGAGGGGCGCCGAGGCGCCCAGGGTGGCCTCCGGGGGGGGATGCCGGCGTGTGCAGCCCGGCGTGACAGGAGGGGCGGGGGGGCGAGGCCTCTCGATCGAGGACTGCAGATCACCGAGCCTCCGAGCGTTCCGCTGCTCGCAGAGTGCCTGCTCGCAAACGTCCGGACAGAAGCAGGTCTCTCTAGATGTCATGGATCGCAGATCCCCCGCGGTGGGTCCGGGCCATTTGCGAGTGGTTACTCTGCGAGTATGCGAGCAGTGGAACGCGTTTGTCTCGCGGACGCCCTGCCAAACGGCACTTTGTGTATTCTGCACGCGCCGGGACGTGCCAGGGTCCGGGGCATGGCAGCGAAGTGGACTTTTCGGCGAAGGGCCCCTCGGGGGAGCACTCTGGTTGTGATTGTGGTCGACTTGGCCGGCCTCGACATGAGCACTCTGGTTGTGATTGTGGTCGATCTGGCCGTCCTGGGACGCCGCGCCGACCACAACCAGTACGAATTTTGCTGGTGTCGGTGCTCCGACAGTTTTCGGCATGTGCAAGACACCCCCCGGAGTGTTTCCTCGATGTGTGGCTGTGGTCGCTTGTTGTGCCCGCATGCAGGGGGCACGGTGGCGGATCACAAGTGTACGATCTCTTGGCCCGAGGTGGAGAGGGGGGCCGGCGCGCGGGGCGGCGCCCGCGCGCCGCGCGACAGGGCATGGCCTGCGCTGCGGTGGGTCCTGGCCTGGGCCCCTCGCAGCAGGCGGGCCTCCTGCTGCTGCTGCGCGTGGTGTCCGACGGGGAGCGGCTGTGCGAGGACGCCCGCGCCAGGCTCTGCGAGGCGCACGAGTTCGACCCGCAGAGGGTCTTCCAGCAGCTGCAGGGCGCATCGGGCGGCGGGCGCGGCCCTGTCGGCCCCGCCGAGGTGCACCACTGGCTGGCCAGAAGCCCCCACGTGGCGACCACGGTGTCGCTGGAGAACCTCGTGGAGGCGCTCCGGCCGTACCTGAACTCGCACGGCGACCTCGGGTACGAAGGCTTCCTGAAGATGTGCGTGCCAAGGGACCCGTCCCGATCTTGGCTCAAGCAGGTGGCCCTGTCTCGCAGTGCCCAGGCCGCCTGGTCTTCCAGCGGGAGCGATTCAGCGGATGTGGTCTGCAGGCTGTGCCAGTTACTTGAGCGGGAGTGGAACATGCGCAGCCTGATAACCATGCACCACCGCGGCAACC